GTTGCAGGAAATAAGTAACTGAACAAGAGTGATGCAGTGAGGCCCAGAGGGCTAACGCTATGAAATAGGGGTACAGAGGTTATTTTACCTCTGTATTTGGGAGTGGTACAGCCACTGTAGGAATACAGTGACCAGTCCTGGTGCCCACAATTCAAGAAGGATGCTGATAAATTGGAGAAAGTTCAACAAAGAATAATGAAAGTAATTAAAAGGTGGGGAACCATGCCGTATAGTGATAGATTCAGAAACATGCAATCTATTTAGCTTACCCAAGAGAAGTTTAAGGGGCAACTTGATCATAGTCTATAAATACTGACCCAGGGAACAGAGATTTGATAATAGGTTTTATTCTAGTCAAGAATGGTTTAACAAGATTGATTGAATGGTTGCAAACTGACCTAGCAATTGTAAAATAGTACGGATGCTTTCCTCCTCTTCTGTCTGTTACAAGTTTGGGGAATGGGCATTAGAGCCATAAAGAAATGCTGGACCATAAAAGGTTATATGGCTTTTTTAAAAGATATATCCTTTTTAAAGATTTTCACTATCCTGCCTCCATGTTTTATCAATGGATCCTTCAATCCTCTCTCTAGAAGTGTCTGACTACTATGTAATATCATCTATAATATTTGCATTGCTGGTCTGTCTGGGAAGCTTATGTGTATTGTTAGTCTAGTGCATCATGTTTAATTATAGCAATCTTCATTTTGCCCAATCTTAATGTCCTAATTTATGGAGTCTGTGTTTTTTGTAAACCCTTCAGCAGTACTTGTAATTTACATTATTCAGTTTCATTCACCTGATTCAGAAATTTGACTTAATCTGTTAAATCATTTCACTCTTCTTTTTTTCTGTGAAAATGAGACTGACCTTTTCAATCTTTATGGCAAAGATTCTTAATATCCGGAGTCAACCTGGTTTGAGCTGACCTAGAACAGCTAATATTTCTCTTCAGTATCCTTGATATTGGGGATGGGTAGGGAAGGGAATCAAAACTCAATGGAGGGCCAAATCCATGTTTGGTGTAAATCCAAGTAACTTCATTGACTTCAAGGAACTATACTGGTTTGCATCAACTGAGAAGCTGACCAAAAAATACTAGGTGAGGGTAAGCACACAAACATTACCGCCTTCATTTGATCTGTATTTGATCCCTATGTTCATTCATCCCAATGTCTTGTCTGCCTTTTATACACTGGTATAATGTAGTCAAAGAATTTTCTACAATAAGCCCCAACTCCCTTCCCAGGTCTTTATAGTCTATGGCTGTTCAGTTTAATCTGTACTCTGTTCTTTTTGTAATTAATATTTGATTTGATTTTTTACAACAAAGTACACACTGTACATACAAAACAAGCTATCAATTAAATATAACAACAATAATAAATAGGTACCAGGATAAAGTACTTTCAGACCCTAGGAACAGGCAGGATTTCCAACCACCCAATCCAGCTCCTCGCTTTTTCTGAGGTTTACTTTTACTAATTAACACCAGTAAGACAACGGTGCATCTACACTGCACCATTTTCCGGAATAACAGGACTAGCATCCACACTGCAATTGCATTATTTCAAAAGAAAGTCAAAATAATGGATGGCTTTTTCCAACAGCGGTAAACCTCATTCCATGAGGAATAAAGCCTTTTCCGAAAAAGCTTTTTTCTGAAGTGTGTGTGTGTGTGTGGACGTGGAATAGGGAGTTTTGTCAAAAAAAAAAAAGAGGCCTCCAGGAAGTCCCACAGGTACCCTGCTGGCCACTCCATCCACACTCACAACAACTCTATAGTTCCTGTTCCCCTGAAACTCTTAAAGCTGCAGACACAGGGGACAGGACACCATGTCTCAGCCACAAGCTCATCCCAGGAGCATGCAGAGGACTCCAAGGAGTGTGCCAGGGGCCGCAAAATGTCTGCGCTATCCTGGTCTGGGGCAGAGATCCTGGCCCTCCTGAAGGTGTGGGGTGACCAGGAGACCTTCCAGGATCTCAGTTCCAGACAGCATAACACCAATATATATGCCAAGAACCTGGCCACAAAGGGCCACACTAAGAATTTGCAGCAGATTTGTAGTATTATTATTTGTAGCCCCTATTATGATGACCTGCACCACATGTTGGGGGGTGGTACAGCCCCTTCCCTACCCCTCATGGTGGACTTAGGGCTGGAAACACCTGTCATCACCTTCCGGGGGGTCCCATCCCAGGAGGAGGAGGAGGAAATGGCGAGCACTGTGACCATGCTCACTTTGGAGCCGGTACTCCATGGCCTGGCTGTGTCTCCAGGGCCGGAGACAGATCATCAGGTGAGTGCTCTTTAGTTTTCTTACACACAGGTGGGGGAAGTGGGCACTGAGGGGCTGTGGTGTGATCATCACTCGGCCTTCTTGGCCTGGCTTTCACACTGCAGTCCATGCACGTGGAAGCATGGCCAGCACCATTCTGCGTGACACAGCCCCAAGAGGCAGCCCCGGAGCACCCCCAGGCTCCTACTCCTCCTCTCGGGAGACCAGACACTCTTCTGACCCCCCGCGGGGTGGTGGGAGAAACACTCTCCCACCAGGAGCCACTACTGGAAGAAGGCTGTGGACATGGAGACACATGCACACACACGTTTTGGAGTGTCACACATGGCCATGCCTGCATGCTCGAGGCACCACCCACTCCCGGGGCAGCACTGCCAGGTGCAGGTGTGTGTGAAGCCCCGATGGAAGCCCAGGCTGCTTGAGGCCCCTCTCCCAGCCATGGGATCCCAGTATGGCTGAACACTTCCCATGCCTGCTTGTCTGTGGGATGTGTGTGGAGGGGGGAGGGGAGGAAGCATGATCCCCTGGGGACCTATGGGCCCTGTAAGGCAGGGTCCACTGTCCAGGCCACACATGGCCTTGCTCCCAGGACATTACTGTCCTCTGATCCAAGAACTGTTGCTGTCACCTCACAGAGGAGGGCAAGGCCTCAGGGACAGTGTCTTCAGGGATGATTGACCACTTCTCTTTATTCTCTCCAGCCAGACCAGCCATTACTGTGAAGTGACCGACACCACCTGAGCCAGCCGCCCGAACCCGGGGGAGCCACAGGTGTCAGAGGGTCCATCAGGACCTCATGAGGGAGCACGTCTCCATCCCCCGGGACATGCAGCAAACGCTGGCCTTGAAGGTCCTGAACAATGCACAGTGGCGGGCCCAGATGTGGACTGAGCTGCTGCAGCAGGGGCACAACATGTGCACGACCATCTGGGAGCTCTTGACCCTACCCAGCACCAGTCCCTGCCCTAGTCCTTGTCCCTGCTCCTGCCCCCGTCCCATGCCTCACTCTGCTCCAATCCCCCTCCTGCTTATCCCCCTAGCCTCACTGGACCCCCTCCCCCAGGTCACAGAAGTCCCTGCACATGAGGCAGAGGAAGCACCGAAGTCATGCGCCACTCTCAGCCCCAGCTCTCAGCCTCTCTTCCCCACTCCATGATTCTCAGCCTCCCCCTCCCCATTTCCAGGATCTCAGCCCTCCTTCTCCCCAGTTATTTCTATCTGTTTATCAAAACGGATTTTTTTTTGTGTCTGTGGGGAAGGAGAGGGGAAGGGGAAGGGAGGGGTTGCTGTGGGAAAGGCAGAGAGGGGCAAGGCACAGGCCCCTAGTTGGTACGCCCTGGGGAGAGGTACTGGGGTTCTTGAGTGAAGCTCTCCCTCAGGGCCTCCGGTATGTGCACCCCCACCAGACGGGCTGCTCGAAGGCTCATCCTTCCTGGCCGGCCTCTGCACCCCAACCCAGAAAGAAGGCCTCCTTCTTCTCCATGATATTGTGGAGCACACAACAAGCAGATATCACCTGGGGGATGTTCTGCTTGCCTACGTCCAGGGCAAGTCAGGAGGCACCTGACCCTCACCTTCAAGTGGCCAAAGGCACATTCAGCCTGCATGCAGGCCCTGCCCAGGTAACCACTGAAGTGGTCTTTGCTTTGGTCCAGGTGGCTGGTGTAGGGCTTCATCAGCCATGGCATGAGAGGGTAGGTTCATGATGCACAGTGGCATTTCCACATCCCCGAAACTGATGTTGCACTTGGGGAAGAAAGTGCCAGCCTCCAGCTTGTGGTAGAGGCTGGAGTTGCGGAAGATGTGGGTGTTGTGCACTTTCTCCGACCAGTTGATGAAAATGTCCATAAACTGGCTATGGTAGTTGACCAGGGCCTGCAGGACCATAGAAAAGTATCCCTTCTGGTTGATGTATGGTGCAGTCCAGTGGTTGGGGGCCCAGATGGGGATGTGGGTGCCGTCAATAGCCCCCACACAGTTGGGGAATCCCAGAGTAGCAAATCCAGCAATGATGGGGTCCATGTTGTGCAGGCAGATGACCCTGCACAGCAGGATGATGTTAATCACCCTCACTACCTGCAGAAGGAGACAAACAAAGCAGCAAAACAGAGAATTGAACAAGTTGTTGCATGAGTTACCTGACAACCATTTAACATGTACATTGTATTTTGGGGAACTGCCTGAATGCGCTCTTTTTCATTTGCCGGCACCAAGCTTCATTTTTTATTTATTGTCTGTCACATAAAAATCTAGATCACTTTGAACTCAGTTGTATTATTCCTCTTCCATTCCACTTTCCCTCCTCCCAAATCCTACATCTTGGTATTACCCTCAAATTAAATATTCTAATAAAAAATGGCTGTTTCTAAACTAACCCTGGAAAATTAACCCTGCTGTAAAATTTATCACTTATAGAACTTGCTGTTTCTGAGCCCAAATCTGCATGACCAGAAAAGCCAGGAAAAAAAAGTCATCAGCAAATGTTTTGTAATACTCACGTAGCCCCTCTTCACCTGGTACCTCACAAACTACCTTTCCAAATATTACACAGCTTCCTGCATATGAAATAATGAATGAGCCTACAAGGGGCGAGGTGATAGTTCAGTTCCAGTCAATGTATTAACTTTAACCATTTTTAGCTTTGGACAGACATAGCTCTATCTTCAGGTCATGAATCTTGTTTTGTGCTTTCTCTTGCAGAATGTTTATTATACAAGTAATCAGCAGATCCATGTGGGTGTTCTGAGTCCCACTATTGATGATGATGACAACAGATGCCTGGTAGATGTGAACAGCAGGCCCAGGCTCATTGAATGCAATTATGCCAAAGCCAAGCGGATGAAGCTTTACTGGCAATTTACTCAGGTAATTTTTCCTCAAAACACATTTCAGAACAGTTCAAAGGGGATCAGCTTTGTTTCTGTACCTGAATCATGAATAGTGTGTGTTCCATCAACACTGACGGGGGGGGTGTACTTGGATTCTGTATAGGAAACCGCCAGGGTATGACCCCCACACATACAACCATTTTTGTAAGTGTGGGAGGATCCCAGACCCCCTGACTTACATCCTCAGCCTGCATTTAAGACAGCGCACAGGACCTATCATAAATGAGGGTTCGAGTTATGATGCCCTTGACTTGCAACACTTCCCCGGGAACCAATCACATCACAAGTTGGGGGCTGCCTGTACAGAGTGATGGGGTCCATACTAATACTGATCCTAATATCTGATAACTCAGGCAATTATGAGGTTCTTGGGTGATATTCTTCAAAATGTATTGGTGTGTGCCCATGAATGGGTGTGCCGGTCAATCTTGTGAAACACAGCTAGCAATACTCCCCTGGCAGGAACAAAAGTAATAGCTGGATATCAAATTCCACATGTTGGTGGTGTGCCCTTCTTGAGAAGCCTAGCAAATTTGAAGGATCCCCTTTCCAAAATCCAGGGGTGTGACAGCTTCCATGGGCCCCGGACAAGGTGCGAAGGAGCACCAGCTCTGAGTCCTGGAAGGGGCAAGGCCTCAGGCAAACTGGGTGGGGCTGGGCATGCAGCCCTCAGGCCCACTCAAAGTGCTACACTGCCCCTCTCACCCCCTCCCCCCACAGGCCTTCAGAGCCACATGGAGCAGTGGTGGCTGGAAGCTCCAGACTCCTTTGTATTGCCAGTCCTTAGGGTAACTGCCCTCTCGGCCCCCAGCTATTGGCTGGTCTGCCAATAGGAGCTGGAGAATGTGGGCTATGAAGCAGTGTTCTGCAGCAGCTTTGTTTGTCCCTGTGCTGAAGAGATTTTGAGGGCCCTTTCTCATCAAGGATCTTCTGCAGAGAACTACCCTCTGAAAAAATGGCTTGCTGAGGCTTTCCACAGGGTTCAGTTCTGGCCCTCAGAACCTACAGTGTAATTTACCCATGTACCAGGCTGTGTTTCTGCTAATTTTTCCCACTCCTGAGTGAAATGAATTTTCTTATGTGCACCAATAAGGAGGTGGGGCCAAGAGGTTCTGAATGTGGGAGGGAGCTTCGGGTTGGGGCGGAGGGTAGAGGTGCAGGAGTGTGAGGGATGGGGATGTGATCTCTGTGGTGGGGCTAGGCTGAGGAGTTTGGGATAAAGAAGTGGGGAGCACCTCTCCCCATCATGGCAGCTATGGGGCTGCAAGATTGTGCCTTTCCCCAATTCTGGCAGAGCGGGGGGAGGGCCACACCAGCTGTAGCAGATCCTGGCTTGGGCTAGACTAGACGCAGTCTCTGTGTATAGTTTCATTAATTTGTATTTGTTAGTGTTGAAATTTGGTCTGTCTGTTACTTCTCTCTGTTGACTTTAGACTTAACTGTCCTGCAACTTTGCTACTTTGCTGTTTACCCCCTTTTCTAGTTCATTAATGAATATGTTGAACAGCAAGATCCAATTACAGATCCTGGAAGGATCCTGCTATTTATTTCTCTTCATTTTGAAAAAATGGTGGTTTACTTTTTTTGCTTTTAACCATTTGCTGATCCATGAGAGGATTTTCCCTCTTATCTCATAGCTATTTAGTTTCTTTAAGTGTCTTTCATGATGGACCTGGTCAAAGGCTTTCTGAAACTAAGAATACTTTATCACTGAATCATAGAAAATTAAGCTTGGAAGAGGCCTCAGGAAGGCATCTAGTCCAACCTCCTGCCCAGAGCTGGACCAACCCCAATTAAATCATCCCAGCCAGCACTTTGTCAAGTCGGGCCTTAAAAACCTCTAGAGTTGGAGATTCCACCCCTCCCTAGGGAACTCATTCCAGTGCTTCACCTCCCTCCTAGAGAAATAGTTTTTCCTAATATCCAGGCTAGACTTCCTGTGGTGGGACGCTAGCCCCGAACCTTTCTGTCCTGAGGCCTGGTCCTTTAAATGCAGGCCCCGTGGCCTACTCCTTCAAATGCAGGCCCTGTGGCCAAGTCCTTCAAATGCAGGCCCAGTGGCCTAGTCCTTTATGAGATCCCCTCTTTGTCAGGGATCTGGGAGGAAGGATTAGGGGGGCCCGGGACCTCCCTCTCCACCGGGCCCCAATTCAGGGCCTTATCAGTGGTGGGTGGTTCTCACCACTGGCTCAGCGGGGAGTTCTCCCCGAAATGCACCGAGCCTGCCGGGGCATTTTCTGCTCCCTGTCCTGGGTTGCTTCCTACCCCACCCACCTGGCCAATAGCGGTCCCACCTGTAGATGTTGGCCTGGAGGCAGCCACGGTGTTAGCAGGTGTGGCGTCGGGGTCAGCAGTGGCTGGTGCAGTGACGGCATCTAGGGGGGCTGTATGGCATAGCCAACGTTGTGGCTGGGCTCAGCCTGGGGCTAGTAGCGGCGCGGGCAGCTGGTCCAGTGTCTCTTGCTCTGGCTGCCGTGGCCATGGCTCCGGTGCTCGGGCAGTAGCTTCTTCCCCTCCGGAGGTCCCTCACAACTAAACAGTTCTGTAGCCTTTTATACCTGGGCTGCACTGGGAGCATGCCCAGCAGGGCTGCGGGGGAGGAGTGTATTCTACCCAATAGACATGTTCCCCTTCCCTTTGTCTAGTGCGGGGTTGGCAAGCCCCATCACACACCTCCCCCCTTAAGAGAGTCCTCCCTGTTAGTTTCTCCTCCCCCACCTTGGAACCTATGTGGGAAAAGAAGTCCACATTTCCATGGGCTTTCCCTGGCCTATGTGCCACTTGAAATGAATATGGCTGTAATGACAAATACCAATGCATAATATGGGCATTGGTATCTTTCATTGTTTGCAGCCATCTTAGTGGGGCATGATCAGTCACTATCAGAAAGGAGCCACCTAGCAAATAATACCTCAGGACCTCCATGGTCCACTTCACTGCCAGCACCTCCCTCTCTATGGTGGAATACTTGGTTTCTCGAGGGTACAGCTTGTGGCTAAGGTACAGAATAGGGTGTTCAGCTTCATCTACCTCTTGGGATAACATGGCTCTGAGGCCTACCTTGGAGGCATCCGTGTGTAGGATGAATTGGAAAAATCTGTCTGGGCTAATACCGGTCCCCGAGTTAGTTGGTCTCGTAAGGTCTGGAACACCCTCTTACACTCTATTGAGTATTCCACCCGCCATGGGTGTTGGTTTTTGGTCAGGTCTGTCAGGGAAGCTATGGTGGAAAAGTTAAGAATGAAGTGTCTGTAATATCCCACCAGCCCCAGGAATTGTCTCACCTGCTGCTTTGTGGTGGGGGTGGGGTATTCGTGGAGGGCCTGTACTTTATCAATCATGGGTTTCACCCGTCCCTTCCCCACTGTATATCCTAAGTACCTCCTTTTTCCCCAAGTGACATTTGGTCAGATTTGCTGTCAATCTGGCCTCCCCTAGGGCCCCTTGTACCTTTCCTGGCCCAGTACCTTTTCTAAGTGGGTTAGATGATCCTCCCATCCTTCACTATACACAATAATGTCATCAATGTATGCGGCTTCATACTCTTCGTGAGGTGCCAAGACCTGATTCATAAGTTGCTGAAATGTGGCGACAGCCCCATGTAGTCCGAAAGGCATCATCATGAATTGATATACACCGAAAGGGGTCAGGAATGCTGTTTTCACATTGGCTGTCGGTGTCAACGGGATCTGCCAGTATCCCTTTGTGAGATCCAGTGTCGAAATGTACTTGGCCCTCCCTAGGTGTTCCAGTAACACTTCTACCCAGGGCATGGAGTACGCATCGAATTGGGAGATGGCGTTCACTTTGCGGAAGTCTACACAAAACCTCACTGAGCCATTAGGCTTGGGGACCAGCACAATGGGGCTCCTCCATTCACTTCTGGATTCCTCCACTAACCCTAGGGCCAGCATTTCTTTCAGCTTCTTGCGTACCGTATCACATTTTCCGGGGCAGGAGTTGATGATTATCCCGTACTTTCTGCCCTGGTAATGTGGCAATGTGATGACTGATCAAGGGGGTTCTCCCAGGTTTGTCTGACAATACATGGGGGAACTGTGTGACAAGGTCCCTCTTCTAGGTCTTGCCTGAGATCCACCTGGGGGCGTTCTGCCGAGGCTCCAACTAGCGGCCCCAACTCTTCCTCAGGTGGGAATGGGGTGATCCTCACTGCCTCCTTCTCCTTCCAGGCCTCTAGGAGGTTCACATGGTATATTTGTAAGTCCTTCTACCGTCCTGGCAACCGCACCTCATAGTCCACCAAACCCACCTTCAGCACAATCTCAAACGGCTCTTACCATTTTGCTAGTAACTTGGACTCAGAGGAGGACAACAAGAGCAACACCCAATCCCCAGGTTAAAAGGTCCACACCTTCACTTTCTGGTTCTAGTGTTGCACCTGGGCTTCCTGCGCCTTCAATAAGTTCTCCCTAGCTAGCCGGCCCAATTCTTCTAGTCACTCTCTAAGTTGTAGGGTGTAGTGGATGGACCCCTGGGCATATCTTTCTTGCCCCTCTCAAGTATCTCTCACTAGGTCCAAAATGCCCCCGCAGTCAGTGCCCATTTAATACTTCAAAAGGGGAGAACCCAGTGGAGGCTTGGGGAATCTCCTGTACCGCGAAGAGAAGAGCTGGTAGCCACTTATCCCACTGCCGTGGGTCGTCCTCAATGAATTTGTGCAGCATCGACTTCAGTGTCCTGTTGAATCGTTCCACCAGTCCATCCGTCTGTACACGGACATTCTCAGGAATCGAATACTCAATAGCTGACACAATTCCGTTATCAGTTTCGATGTTACATTAGTTCCCTGGTCTGTTAGGATCGTTTTGGGGAAGCCCACCCTGGCAAATACTTTTAAGAGATCCTCGGTGATGGCCCAGGCAGTTGTGACCCGTAGGGGAATCACTTCTGGATAATGGGTGGCGTAGTCCATGATGACTAAAATGTATTTACTCCCATTGGCACTCCATTCCAGAGGCCCTACCAGGTCCAGCCCTACCTATTCAAAAGGTGTCCCCATGACTAGTAGTGGGACCAACAGGGCTTGGGGCACCCCACTCAGATTAGCACGTTGGCATTCAGGGCATGACTCACAATAGTATCGCATGGCGTGGTGTATCCCCGGACAAAGAACCATTGGGCTAGTCTGTATAACGTCTTTTCCTGGCCCAGATGCCCTGCCCAGGATACATTGTGGGCCAACCGCAACACAGCTGGCCGAAAACGCTGAGGTACGAGTAGCTGGCAAATCTCGGCCCGGGTTTGATGGGGTATAATAACAGATTTGATGTTACTGATTAACACCTATCTGTATGGTTCTTGTTCCAAATGACTTGACCCTTTGGTACCCAAGAATCCATTACTTCTGCTCCAAAAAACCTGAGTTCTGTGCTGTAAATATTCCAGAGAGTCCAATATAAATTCCCACAACCTAACTTCCACTGAAGAGAAATGGAAGCCCCTTTTTGTTTCTTTATGATAAATTAAAAGGCAAAGGGAATAATTGAAGGCATGCTGTTTAGAATGGATTGGTTTGTTAATATCCAGAATGATTAAAGAGTTGTTGTTTCTGCACACATAATGTGATGCAAAGTAGGTTTCGCATGCTGTAAGCTACAAGAAAACTAATGAGAGTAATCAAGGATTTCCAAAATGAATTGATTCATTGTATTCTAGCTGCTCACATTTAATCTGGTAAAATGAGTACACTCTCTGAACACATTGGAAGCTGTCTTTAAAAATCTAAAAAGCATCATTGATTTTTTTATTACATTTTGAAAGCTCCTGCCTTTTTTTCTTTTCTTTTACACAGTGATTACGACTCCTGCGCATACACAGGACTGTAGGCGTTGATGTTCATGTAGCTTTTGTAAACCTGGAGCTGTTCAAATATTAATGTATTTTTAAATGTATTTTTTTGGTTCCCACCCATATGATTTCACAGCTCCTCCTGTTGCATGAGTGTATGCTCACCCTTCTGGAGATTCTGAAACATGGAATGATCTCCAGAGGGAACTCTGATAAAACAGGTCATAAAAAGAGGGGGGGGGGTTAGAAGAATTGCCTCAAAGGAAATAGGTTTTGCAAACTTATAATAGGCCAATAGTCTCAGAGAGGTAACCATTTTAGTCTGTAACTAAAAAAACTTAAAAAAACAACAATGGTCCTGTAGCACCTTAGAAACTAGCCAAAAATATATATAGACTGTATCACCAGCTTTCATGGGTACAACCCACTTCTTTTTATAAGACAGAGTGAACTGTATTTCCCCAAACTGTCACTTGTCCTGATTTCAGGCCTGTCTTTGAATTGAAATGAGGAAACTTTATATATAACTACCTGTAAAACACATCTTACATTCTCAGAGGCAAAACACTCATCCATAGTACTGCAAGGACCGCAAAATGCATCTTCAGTCCTACTGCTTCCTTCTAAGATTCTGTGAAAATCAATAGGATCATGTGGGTAAAACTGAAACTTTTTGAAAAATGTGCCAGTTAGATTGTATTCCCCATTTTCTCCATGTGAAGGTAATGGGGTGATTTAATTGTATTAGTTTAATGATGGGAAACATTTAAATATTACAGCAAAATTAAAAGGTCAGTTTCATACTCAGCAAACAGTGGAATCATTCTAGGACTATTCACATGCCTATTGTTAAAAATGTATTCATGTACTTTGCAGGATCAAGGTCTATGTATAGAAATCAAACTTAACTTCCTATCTATTTAATTTACATTTTATTTATCTAACTTTTATCACATGCAAACTCCTCACCCAACACATCCAAACACAAGAACATAAGAAGTGCAGAGTAAATCAATCAAAGCAGCAGTGTTTCTTCTTACCACACATCATTTGATTTCCAATTATGGAACTAATATGGCTTAAAACTCCCTGTTGCACTTTTCCTGTAGACAGAAATCTTGCTATCAGTTGCATCAGCATTCCATCAAAGGCCTGCTCAAACAGATGGCCTTTGTAATATGCCTGAAAGATCAACTAATTTGGGCTCTTTCAGCCCTGAGGGGTGGATCATTACAAAGGAAAGGAGCCTTATTGGAAAATTTTCTGCAAGCACCCTCTTTCCTTTTATAACGAGGGGAGTGGAATGGAAAACCTGTCTTATGAAAGGAGACTTAAGGAGCTTGGCTTGTTTACCTTAACCAAAAGAAGGCTGAGGGGGGACATGATTGCACTCTTTAAATGTATTAGAGGGATAAATACCAGGGAGGGAGAGGAATTATTTAAGCTTAATACTAATGTGGACACAAGAACAAATGGATATAAGCTGGCTAGTAGGAAGTTTAGGCTTGAGATTAGACGTAGGTTTCTAACCATTAGAGAAGTGAAGTTCTGGAACGGCCTTCCACGGGAAGTTGTGGGGGCAAACGATTTATCTGGTTTCAAGATTAAACTAGATGAGTTTATGAAGGGGATGGTTTGATGAGATAACATGATCTTGGTAACTAATTGACCATTGATTATCAGTGGGAAATAGGTCAATGGAGGGATGATAGGAGTTACTATAGAGAACTTTCTGGGTGTCTGGCTGGTGAGTCTTGCCCACATGCTCAGGGTTTAGCTGATCGCTATATTTAGGGTCGGGAAGGAATTTTCCTCCAGGGTAGATTGGCAGAGGCCCTGGAGGTTTTTCGCCTTCCTCTGTAGCATGGGGTACAGATCACAGCTGGAGGATTCTCTGCATCTTAGGGTCTTCAAAGTATTTGAAGGCTTCAATATCTGAGATATAGGTGAGAAGATTATTCTAGGAGGGGTGGGTGAGATTTTGTGGCCTGCACTGTGCAGGGGGTCAGACTAGATGATCATAATAGTCCCTTCTGACCTTAAAGTCTATGAGTAAATCCAAACCACAATCCCAAACTTTGTGATATTCGTTCAGTTCTGGAAACAAATTTTACATTTTGGTATACTAGAACACTGAATACAGAGAGTTGATACATGCTAAATTTATATTGATTTGTTCCTTCTTTGTTTCTTTAATTTAAAATAAAAGATAGAATGTACATTTGAGTTCTCTTACTGTAACCAACTCAAAAAGGGATTATCATATTTCCTTATGATAATTAGTTCAGAAGATAACAGACTACTATTGCTACCAGCTAATGGAGTTGTTATTAGTTCAAATAGCAGGGATCTGTGATGTGGTACTGAAAATCCTAAGTAAACTCAACTAACAATAAAACTGAGTCATATTTCTGGGGCTTCCACCCTATGGAACAGCAACATCTTTTAAATGTATTTTTTAAAATAGATACCATCTCATGTACATAGGTGTAGTTAAAAAAAACTGTTTTAATTACTTTCCTTGCTTCATTGTACTCGTTTCCCTTTTTAAAAAATAGACAAAATACCAGATAATTTGTGAAACTCCTGCTGTGCACATGTACTGGCATGAAAGAATTTAAAAGTTAATTATATATATATATATATATTGAAGAGATGGCAGAGACCCTGGAGGGTTTTCGCCTTCCTCTGTAGCATGGTGTACAGATCATAGGTGGAGGATTCTCTACATCTTGGGGTCTTCAAACTATTTGAAGGCTTCAATATCTGATATATAGGTAAGAGGATTATTCTAGGAGGGGGTGGGTGAGATTCTGTGGCTTGTACTGTGCAGGGGGTCAGACTAGATGATCATAATGGTCCCTTCTGACCTTAAAGTCTATGAGTCTATGAGTGAGCTCTATGTCCTTATCTCTGTTTCCTTTTTCTGTATTTCTTGCGCTATTGTTTGAATGCACTGTAGAGTATGAAGCAGGGGTAAAAGCAGGGCAAATGGAAATCGAGGAGTGATTCGCCTTTCATTTAGAAAGGAAGATGCAGAAATTAACTCTCCATCCCAAAATGCAATTAAATTTGAAATCAAAAGAGCAATGGACTGGATGGCACAGGGAATTTGGTTCTAGGACATGGAGTTATTTACATCTAAACAGAAAGGGGCTCAAATCAAAGCCCATATCCAAACTCAGGGGCTGTGTCTACACTGGCACCCCTTTCAGAAAAGGGATGCTAATGAGACACTTCGGAATTGCAAATGCCGCGGGGGATTTAAATATCCCCCGTGGCATTTGCGTGAACATGGCTGCCGCTTTTTTCCGGCTCGGGGTTTTGCTGGAGAAAAGCGCCAGTCTAGACGGGATCTTGCGGAAAATAAGCCCTTTTCCGGAAGATCCCTTATTCCTACTTTCAAGTGGCCCTTTTCCGGAAAGGGGTGCCAGTGTAGACAAAGCCAAGGGGAAACATTGAGCCCTTTGAGATCAAAAGCTGATTCCACACCTTCATTTGCATCTGGCTACTATCTTTATCATAAGCTAAACCAGAACCCTCTCCCATCTCTTCTTCTAAGTACTGGTGAGATTTACACCCAGGCTGTGTCTACACTGGGCCACTTATTCCGGAAAAAAAGCCACTTTTCCGGAATAAGCTGCGAGCTGTCTACACTGGCTGCTTGCTTTTCCGGAAAAGCAATGACGATCTACTGTAAAATTGTCAGTGTTTTTCCGGAAAAACTATGTTGCTCCCATTCGGGCAAAAGTCCTTTTCCGGAAAAACTGTTCTGGAAAAGGGCCAGTCTAGACGGCACAGTAGTCTTTTCCACAAAAAATCCCCGATCGCGAAAATGACGATTGGGGCTTGTTTCCGGAAAAGCGCATCTACATTGGCCACGGACGCTTTTCCGGAAAAAGTGCTTTTCCGGAAAAGCATCTTGCCAATGTAGACGCGCTTTTTCTGGAAATATTTATAACGGAAAACTGTTCCATTTTAAGCATTTCCGGAAAAGGGTGCCAGTGTAGACGTAGCTCCATGGTAGTGCATGCTTGATGTTGTTGCTTAGTGTATGATAGCTGTCCTGCCCTCTCACTCTGAGTAGGTCCTATCAGGTCACATTTGAAGGCACACATGAAGGCACGGCATGGAGAAGATTGCACATGACTTAGATCTTCAAAAGTGTCCAGTGATTTTGGGGGTCTCTCAATTTTCAAAACACATTTAAGGAACCTGATTGGAAGTGATGAGCATCATCCACCCTTTGGAAGTGTCCTGTTTAAAGTGTTGGGGGTTTGGCACTCAACACGCAAGGCAAGAATCCATTAGTTTTAAAAATCTTAACTTGAATATATTCATTTTAAATGTAATTTATGATGGCTTTGTTATCAACCAAATTATCATCTCATTTAGAAGGATGTAATTAGTGGATTTAGTGAAGTCATTGGAGCTATTCTGGTTTTACATGAGTGTACTTGATAGCAAAATTGCTTCCTTCAGTCTCTCCACAGAAAATCTGCTAACAAATATTCTGGTTAAGTCTGTCTTCTAAATAGTCAAAAGTTGCCTCTAAATGTTGGAAAATCCTTTTGGCTTCTCATTCTGACATAGATGCTAAGTATTTTGAATATACAATATGGGCCTCAAAAATGTAAAGGGCTTAGCCTGATTCTTGTCTGTTTCACCCAGAGAATTGACTTAGATTAGCATAGAACTAATGTAATAGGAAAATCTGGCCCTCTGTATCTGAAAATCATTTTAACACATGGTCCAAAGCTGAAAAGTCTTTCGATATAAACATTTGGAAAATTGATGTGGGTTTGTTTGGTTTGGTTTGGTTTGATTTGGTTTTTGTTTGGTTTCTTGCAAGAGAAAAGTTCATGGAGCACTCGGGCCATTCAGACTCTTGTGTATTGTAATACCTGTTCTGAAATAGCTATTTCGAAATAAGGTGTGTGTAGATGCTCCACTTCTGCTATTTTGAAATAGCCCTTCACCAGGGCCATTCTAAGTTATTCCTCCTGGGACTCGAAATCAAGATAGCACGTCTACCTTAGGGAAGCCTACCTCGGATCAATTTTGAGACTTCCCTGCAGTGTAGATGGCTATTTTGAAATAAGCTATTTCGGAATAACTATAGTAGCTTATTCTGAAATAACTGTGCAGTGTAGACGTAGCCTAAGAACTTCTTTGAGTGTTTGTATCTGTAATTATATCAAGATAGGTAAATTATCAGTGAAAAGTCTCACTCAAGTAGGCAATGTTCACTACGTTTATTGCTCAGAGTGTCTGTCAGGTGTTCTTCTAGACAAATTCTTTTTTGGAAGCATTGCTGTGTTGAGTTGAAATAGTTATAACTGTGCTGGGTCCAAGAGATGAGAGAATATCATTTATTGGACTAACATCCAATGGACACAAATCAGATATACATAGGAGAACATACAGAAACCTGTTGGAAAACATTTCAATCTACCTATTCACTCTTTAAAAGACAGGTGGCTGTCTTGTCACAAACCAATTCTAGAAGCCAAATACAGAGAGAGGCGTTGGAATTACAATTCATACGCAAATTCAATTCCTCCACTGATAACCTTCTCAATCGAGATAATGGATGGCTGGGAAATTATCAACCAAACATTCAATGACGGTGCCAACAGCTCTTTGTCTGTGTAGATTCTTGCGTTAGTACCCTTCCTACCTAATTGCTATACTTAGATCCTTATCTGCTTCTTTTTAACTATCCAGTCTTTAGGTGCTTATAGATGACCAGTTCTGCCTACTTTTTTTCCCCGTTGATATTTTCATACTCTGCTCCTTTTTTCCCACTCCTTCCTTTTTTTTCTTCCTCCCCTTTCCCTTCTCCCCAATTTATTTTGGGTCTGCACATCCTAAACTCAAAACTCCGGTCATATGAAGAAGTAGGCTGTGCCCACAAAAGCTCATGATACCATCTACATGTTTTGTTAGTCTATAAAGTGCTACCACACCATTTGTTGTTTTTTAAGTTTATCCTCTAACTCGGCTATCCCCTGAAGCTTCTGAAACATCTGCACACATTATTAAACATGGGGCCTGCATGTCTTGCCTTAAACTTTGTATTCATGCTCAGCAGTGTGAAAGAAGCTATTTGCATATAGATTTGCATGCCATACTTAAGTTGCTGCCCTTGGTGTGTGCTGTGCATATCATTGTGGCCCTCAGAGCTTCCAAAGTTGAGTAGACCTGATTTAGTTGATTCTTGGACATACCCTCCGTAACTGAATCTCAGACAGGTAGCCATGTTAGTCTGTAACCTCTGTAACTGAGTCTTTTGACCTGAAAAGTGTTGGGGGATTATTGTATACCCCAGTCTTCTGCAGCAGAAATAAAGCCTGATTGCATAT